AGGCCACACCAGGGGAATTGCTCAACCTTGCCTGGAGACTCAGCAATGCACCCAGACATGCCTGGGTGAGGACTGAGGGTATAAAACAGACAGTGGCCACATGCTGGGCCTTTCTCCTTCACTCATCTACGCTGCAAGCCACAAGGACACTCTGAAGACTCCAACTGAGGGGACTGGCCCAGATTCGAAGGGAGAAATCTGTGTACTATGAACTGCAATATCCAGTGGGGTAGAAACTACTAGTTGTTGCTCAGTCTAACAGGGTTGAGAGTTTAGACTTTGTGCTTATATTTTATTTCTATTGGTAACTCACTCTAACTTTTTGCCTATTACTTAATATCACTTAAAATCTGTCTTTTATAGTCAATACATTTGTTTTACTGTTTATCTTTACCAGTGAGTTTGTATGAAGTGTGTGGCAAATCTGCTCAGGGTACAAAGGCTGGTGTTTATCCACTTTCCATTGATGAAGTGGTGAACCAATTAATAAATCTGCATTGCTCATCTTGAGCAGTGCAAGATGGTATATTCCTGGGAACTGGGGGATTTGGCTCTGGTGTCTTTCTCGATGTGATTCATGAGTGGCTCTGGGAGCATTCATGCAATCTAGCTGGGTGTGGGGTCTACACATGTGGTTGTGCTGAGTGATAACAGCACCTGGAGGGGTTTTCTGCTGGTCACTAGCAAGGCATTGTGAGAGAGAGCCCAGGCTGGAGAGAGGATTGTCCCAGGAAAGGACAATATGGCCATGATTAGGATCAGCTGAGCTACTGATGAAACTATTCACTGGCTGTCATGGTTGGTGATGCATAATAGAAATATGTTTTATAGATTGTGTGATGTATGGTACCTTCCAATTGTTCGCCTGGATACCCGCTATCAAGCAGACTATATTAGGGCAAACTGCTGTGAAGGCTCTTTTGGGGGCTGATTCTGGACCCAAATCCAGCTCCTATATGCCACATATGAGCTTCAAGAAGTTGAGGAGAATTCTCCCAGTGCAGGAGTAGTGTACAGTGGACATTAGTGAAGGGAATGAGCCCATAGCAATGAGAACTACAATAATTCTGGGCTACTCTACAGCCAAGCAACAGCTGCAGTAAGCTGAGCACCCAGGGCTGCTCTAATTTATGCTGGAAGCCATTTCAGCACTACTGCCATGCAGAATCTAGAGGGCACAAGGTTGGCATAAAGCTACCTTTGCTCCCTTCCCTCTGTCTACGCCTGCTGCTGTGCTACACCCCTGAGGTAGTCCAACAGAGAAGCTAGCCCTTAGTCTCCAGCTAGTAGAACAGATAGGTCTGAAATATTTGGATCTACAGGTACAATTTCTGAAACAGCCTTCAAAGATCTGAACACCTAAAATGCCAATTATCTATGCTGAAGGTTGTTTCATCGTATGATGGAAAAAGTGGACCTGGAAGAAAAAAGTGGGGGAAGAAGTGAATAAGATGATCTCTGACATGGAGATGAAAGTCAGTAGCCTCAGGTAATCTGTGAAGGCTAGAAGTAATGTAAGATGAGGCAGTAAGCAGTGAAGCATCATCTAAGACCTTGCTTGCCCTAGAAGAGGACAAAAATGGACACTGCTGAGACAGACAGCAGATGCTTGTGTATTTGCAGCCACAACCCAACCCACTCAGAATCAATCTCCATCTGTGTAGTGGTTCTTGCATATATTTTCTGCTGACAAATACAAGTTCTGAAACCCACTACAAACAGGCAGATGACATGAAAGGAGATGCTTCAATAATTGCACATTTGCTTTTTAATCACCGTAAGGGTTTTGAAAGAGATCTTTGAAGAATAAATATCAAAGAAAATATCATGCTGCAGCTACTGAACACTTCAGGATGAAAAGACAACTGTCTGCGGACTCATAAATATCAAAAGTTACTACCGCTGCTAATACTGTGGGATTCATACAATGATTCAAATGTGCTGTACATACAATTAGCTGAATTCTCACCTCACCTATAGCCCTGCAAACACATTTGTCTGTGTAAGCCCATTGATGTCACTGAACTTGTGCAGATGCAAGTGAAGCCAAAATGAGGCCCTATGCCTACAGGGATCCCTTCATTCAGCACTGAAATGTAGCTACCTCTGGGATATTTTTAGGTTCAAGAAAGGAAATGTATTCTGAAGAGTATTCTTGATACGGACAATGGGTATAGCCCTTTAAAATAAATGTTTTATATGTTTGCCCTTAGGGGTTCTCAACCTTTTTCTTTCTGAGGCCCTCCCCCTAACATGCTATAAAAACTCAATGGCCCAGCTGTGCCATAATAACTGTTGGTTTTTTTGCATATAAAAGCCAGGGCCAGCATTTGGGGGTAGCAAGCAGGGCAATTGCATGGAGACCCTGCAAACCTACATTGCTCAGGCTTCAGCTTCAACCCCCGGGTGGTGGGGTTCAGGGCCCCAGGCTTCAGCCTCATGTGGTGGGGCTTCGGCTTTCTGCCCGGGACCCCAGCAACTCTAATATTAGCCCTGCTTGGCGGACGCTCTGAAACCTGCTCGCGGCCCCCCAGGGACCCCTGGTTGAGAACCACTGCCCTAAGTGATGGATAAGCTCTTTTCAATTAAAAGTTCCTTTTTTTAAATTGCACAGACAAGTGCAATGCCATGCATCCAGTGAAACAGGTGTATTAATCCTGTTTGCATCCCTTTAAATGAAAACATATATGATGTATTAACACAATTGTTTGCTCTCTTCATTTAACAGCATTTTTGTGGACTATTATATTCTGTAAAAGTAAGTTAAAGTAATTACAAAGTAAACTATTTATTTAGTGACTGCTTGTGCAGCATTGCTTTAGCAAAATGACAATTAAAGGTCATCATTCAATGTATTCCCCTAGATACTCCAGTTTTTCTCCTCTGTAGAAGGAAACAAAGATGTTCAGAGGATTCCAGTTACATTGACAGGCTGTCTAGCGTTAGTAGAGTTGTGGGGATGCTTTGCATGATGAACAGCACCTCCATAAGAAGACTATCTAATTAAAGACTTTACAATATTTTGTGTGTAACTATGCACAACTGAAAAGACAAAGCTACTATAAAATGCGGAATGCCAGCAGAAATGAAATGACACTGGATTTAACAGGTTCCTTCAGATTGTAATTCTCGCTCTTTCTGGATATTTAACCGCATTTGTGTTTAAAATTGAACATTTAACAACAGAATGAGACGTACATTCCCAACCAAAGTTTGCAAGTGAAATACTGCTTACAGATTAGAATAATTATGGCTCTCTGTCTACTTTAGTAACTAAGTCTGCACCAGTCTCAGCGTGGATCAGACAGTTCTGCAGCTCTAGAATATAAATTTCTCTTTTACAAGGCTATCTTCACCCAGCATTGGAACAATGAAGATATTGTTGAAAAAATACTTGGACTCAAAGGGGAATTGGCAGAATATACCCGTTTAAAAACTACTAGGTAATTCATATCTCATTGACTTAATTAGTTATACGGGGGATGAATTTGGCCCATTAACTGTATAATGTATAGAAATGTAGGGGATAGAGGGGGAAGTCCGTTCAGTATAAGAACACAGATGTCCTCTCTTTAGGAAGTAGGTTTAGACTCACTTCTCCCTAGAGCTTTCCCATATAGCTGGCTGAAATTTTCTGCAAGAAAATTTGTTTGGCAAAAAAGGTATTTCTTCATCAGAAAATTCTTCTCAGGAAAAAGTCTCAATCGGCTCTACTTGTCTGTGCCACTGCTTCAGTTGATCTAAAGGGAATCTCCATCTTTGAGCCAAGCTGTTATTGTACAGGGCACTAGATGAGGGGTCAGGAGACCTGCATTTATTTCCCAGCTCTGCCATCATCTTGCTGTGTAACTTTGGGCAAGTCAATATAGTGGAAACATACATTTTGGCCTGTTTGTTTACTGTTTGTCAGCTTTGACAGTGAAATGGACAAGTCAGTTAGACTTTTGCCATAGCCAGTTCAACTTTCAAATTCTTATATATTCACACAATGTTAGTACCTAATGCTTGGGTTGTAAATGGCAGGGAAATGTTTAAAATAAATTGTTTCTTTTAAAATCCATGCTATAAATGGCTACATTTATACTGATCTTAGGTTTTGTCAAATCCTATTTTTATAAAACCTGTGGGATGATCATTATGGGTACATCTACACTGCAGTTAAGACACCCGTGGCTGGCCCACACTAGCTGACTCAGGCTCGTTGAGCTCAGGCTCCCACGGCTGTTTAATTACAACGTAGATGTTTGGGCTCGGGCTACAGCCCAAGCTCTGGGACCCTCCCACCTCGCAGGGTCCTAGAGCACAGGCTCCAGCCCAAACCCAAATGTCTATACTGCAATTAAACAGTCCCTTAGCTCAAACCCTGTGAGCCCAAGTCAGATGGCACAGGACAGTCCCAGTTTTTAATTGCAGTGTAGATTTACCCTATGAGACCAAATCCTCTTCCCATCCCACCCAGCCAGTGAGTGAAGCCTGGTCTACACTAAAAAGTTAGGTTAACTTAAATCAACGTGTGCACAACTAGGTTGAGACGTATCTACACTTAAATTTGTCCCATACCGCTGTAAGCACCCCCTTACAGCAATGCAATAGCACCACTTTCTCAAATGACACAAACCTACTTAGGATAACGCAGTGAGTGTAGACACTGCATTATCGGTGTCAACCCTAACAGTTCTCAAGCAGCTGTCCCACACTGGCCCTGTCCTGGCAAAAGTGGCTGTGCCACTCACAGTTTTGAATTCCCTTGCTCAGGAGCCAAAGAGACTGGAAGACTGCCCCCCACTCCCCGACCTTGGTCAGCATGCCTACCAGCTGACCTTTCCTGTGTGCATCCAACCATGCCAGTTCCATGTAGCCAGAGAACTACTAGATGTGCTCCTGCTTGGAGCTAGGAAGAAGCCTTGGATCTCCTCGGCCTGGAGGGAGAAGAGTCTGTGCAAACACAGTTACCGAATAACCATAAAAATATTGACATCTACAAGTTGATAGCAGAGGGGATGCTGAAACTGGGGCATGATGGAGATCAGCAGCGGTACTGCATGAAAGCAAACAAACTTCTCCAGGGATACCAAAAGGTGAGGGAGGACAACAAAAAATCTGGTGCTGCCCCCAACACACCTGCTGCTTTTACAACAAACTATGCTATACTTGATGGGAGCCATCACCCCACATTTCTTATTAAAGGTCTTTATGGGAATAATATAAGGGACTTTTGAAACTTATTTTTCCTTTTCCATTGTGACTATAAATCTAATCGTATATCTGCATGTTGTAATCTGTAGACTGGCATGTTGGCCTTCAGATGTCCCCCTTCCGCTCCTGCTGAATGTCTGACCTGTATCAGGAGGAGAAAGTGGACTAGGGTGGATCTGTTAGGCAAGATACTCCAATCCTCTATGGTTGCTGACAGTGAACACATATGGAGCGGCCATATGACCATGGAGAAGGCCTGAGAATGGAGGGATTGGTTGCAGCAGGAGAGAAAAGGGTCAGGAAGTGCATTGGGAAATGCATCAGAACATCACAGGTTTTCAGGCAACAAGCTTATATGTTGCAAAGCATTATTAACCTACATAACCAAAGATCCCAGGCTCAGCAGCCTGTCCAATGTTAGAACTCCATGGTCACTGCTCCCTATACCTTCCAATGTAAGTAACAGGTGGCAGCAGGGTGTACTAGGAGAACCATAGCTACACACAGACAGACCTATGAAAGCCACAGGATCCAATGCAACTCACTGCAATGTAGTCAGTTCAGTTAACCTTCCCTGAGTACTTTGTTACAGTGTCACTAACCTGCTTTTTGTGTGGGCGGGTGGGGGGGGTGTGTGGGTGGGTGGTTACACCTTACTTTTGTTGCTGGCTTTTTTGCCCACAACAAAGGTCTAATTCAGAGTATCCTTAGTGGTTTGCGCCAAGCAAGGCAGCATTCATAGCAGGTGCCAAAACTCCCCCCACCCATTAGCTCAGGGGTGGCCAACCTGCGGCTCCAGAGCCACATGCGGCTCTTCAGAAGTTAATATGTGGCTCCTTGTATAGGCACCAACTTAGGGTCACCAGAAAGCAAGTGTGAAAAATCGGGATGGGGGGGTAATAGGAGCCTATATAAGAAAAAGACCCCAAAATCGGGACTGTCTCTATAAAATCGGGACATCTGGTCACCATACACCAACTCCGGGGCTGGAGCTACAGGCGCCAACTTTCCAATGTGCTGAGGGGTGCTCACTGCTCAACTCCTGGCTCTGCCACAGGCCCTGCCCCCATTCCACCCCTTCCAGCCCCCTCCTGAGCCTACCATGCCCTCGCTCCCCCCCCCTTTTCCCCAGAGCCTCCCGCACACCACAAAACAGCTGATCGGGAGGTGCGGGGGAAGGCGCTGATCGGCGGGGGCTGCCGGTGGGTGGGAGGCGCTGGGAGAAGGGGGGAGCAGATGGAGGCTGCTGACATATTACTGTGGCTCTTTGGCAATATACATTGGTATAGTCTGGTTCCTTCTCAGGCTCAGGTTGGCCACCCCGGCATTAGCTCATAAAGCATCAGACAACGCCCAGGTGGGTGCCTGTTAACATACAGCCCCATGGCTGGCTCTTCTGCTCGCCTTTGTGTGGGGCTGATCCAATGCAGCGGGGGCATAGCCCAGCCCGCCTGCAGCCTTCTCCCTTGGCCAGCTCCCAGGGACTGCCCAGGACTCAGCCACGCCAATGCCTCTCAGTTAGTCAAGGGGAGACCATGACATCACCGAGCGTCATATGGAAACGCCTCCGCGGGGCTGGCATGCGCATTGGATGCCCAAACGGGTTGGTGCAGGAATTAGGAAGCCGGGGCGCAGGGATTTGAGGAGACAGCCCTAGTACCGCCCTCAGGCGGAGGGTGATGCGAGCGGGAGTCAGACTTCCGCTGTGCTTGGTCCTCCTGCTCCAGCCGCCAGGGCGGGGAGGCGGCCGATCCGCCACCTCACGTGACATCCACGCGCCCGCGCCGTCGCCTTGGAGACTGGAAGCTGCCGGGCTTCCTCCACAAGGTCCGGGCCCAGGCGCGCCCGCTAGTAACCGCCTCCGCCGCGCCGCCAGGGGATGCGGCCCCCGGCGCCATGCTCTGGAGTAAAGGCATCAGCGGGCTCGGCGCTGCCGCCGCCGCGGGGACCGGCCGCCTGCGCCATTGCGGCCCGCGCGGGGAGCGGGGTGAGAACGGGGGTCTCGCGGGCGCCGCAGCCCGGCGGGGGAGGGGGAGCGGGACTTCCCCGGGCCGGGGGGTCACCCCGTGTCGCTCCCTGCCCGCCGCCTGGCGCTAGCAGTTACCCCCGTGCGCCTGGGGGAGCGGCGGGATGGGCCTGTCCTGGGAGCCTGGAGGCCGCCCCGCCTGCCCCCCCAGCTGAGCCGGGAGCCCCTGTGCGCGCTGCGGGCTGGAGGTCTCTGCCCCTGGCCGGGGCGCTCTCCGCGCACGGGCCGCCCTCACCCCACCCTGACGGCAAAGGCGGCTTCCGGTCTAGCGAAGGAGCCCGAGCTCTGATGGGCTGGGCCTGCTCGTTTCCAAACGCAGTGCAACTGTACAGGCGCCTTCCTCCGGCTGCCGGTGATGTTGTGACAAGCCGCGTTTAGTAAAACTGAGCTGGAGGGTCTCGGCTGTTGCTTCACACGAGCCAATGCACCCTCCTGCGGAAATGCTGTTTTCTGCCACTTGTAGGAATAAATGTTTACTCTTTTCCAGTTATTCTTAATCCAGAAAACTAACCCTATTACACTTTAAACACTTCTACAGGAGTTTTGAATTGAACATAACTATATATTCTCTACAGTTTTGGTGGGAGTTGTTACATATAATAAAATGGGTGTCGTCTTTATCACAAGTCAACCTCATAACTCTTCAGTAGCCACAGCACTCCAGTCTATCTCCTGTTCCCAGGACAATCCCATCTCCTCACACCCCATTCGAAAAAAACAAACCGCAACAATAGCTGCTGTGTATGTTTTTAAGTTTTGTTTACAATAGTAAATATCTGATTGTGAATAAATATTTTCAGTTTGAAGGGTCATCAAGTACAGTAGAACCTCAGAGTTAGTAGTTTGTTTAACATAGTATTGTACAGTATTTGCTCCCCCTCCTTCCCACTGCCTGATTGCATAGTTCCAGTTCCAAATGAGGTGTGTGGTTGACCAGTCAGTTTGTAACTCTGAGGTCCTACTGTACTTCAATAAATAATAGGAACTAACTGCTAATGAAGTAAGAGCAGATCTCTGCTTAAAACACTGCAGCAATGCAACTGTATCAGTGCAGCGGCGTCACTGTAGCACTTCAGTGAAGACACTACTACACTGAGGGCTGGTCTACACCCAGCCGCTAGTTCGGCGGCTGGGGATCGAAGTTCCGGGTTCGACTTATCGCGTCTGGTCTGGACGCGATAAGTCGAACCAGGAAGTGCTCGCCGTCGACTGCGGTACTCCAGCTCAGCGAGAGGAGTACCGCGGAGTCGACGGGGAGCCTGCCTGCCGCGTGTGGACCGCGTCTGAACCGCGGTAAGTTCGAACTAAGGTATGTCCAATTCAGCTACGTTATTAACGTAGCTGAATTTGCGTACCTTAGTTCGTATTGGGGGGTTGGTGTGGACCAGGCCTGAGGGGAGAACTTCTCACATGAGTGTAGTAATCCACCTTCGCAAGAGGTGGTAGCTATATTAACAGGAGAAGCCCTCATAAACATAGCATCGTCTACACCTGGGGTTACGTTGGAATAACTGTGTCGCCTAGGGGATGTGGGTTTTTCACACTCTTGAGTGACGTAGTTACACCAATGTAAATTTATAGTGTAGGTCTGGCCTAAGATTGTGAACCTAGTCCTCAAAGATACCAAGTGCTCTCCACTCCCACTGACTTGAGTAGGTGCTGATGGCATTATTTAAACCCTAATCCAGCAAACATCTATGTGTGTGAGTAAGACCTCATTTACACCTAAAATTTAGGTTGACTTAGCTACGTCACTTAGGAGCGTAAAAAATTCACACGGTGTGAGAGATGTAGTTAAGCTGACCTAAGCCCCAGTGTAGACACCGCTAGGTCAATGAAGGAATTCTGTCAGCTACTGCGTCTTAAGGGGGTGTGCTCTCTGTTGCTGTAGTAAATGTCTACACTACAGTGGCAGAGCAGTTACGCTGCTGTACTACTTGTAATGTGGCTTTATGCATGAGTAGTCCCACTGAGTTCAGCAAGATTACTCAGAAGGGAAATAGGCTACTAGAAAGTGCTCAGATACCATGGTGATGGCGTACAACTGTATTAAAAAGGTGAACAGAATAGCTGACTGCGAGGTGCTTTGCAGTCTAACTCCAGAATCCTGAGCATGTTGCAATAATGTATGTTGGGGGAGATTATTAAATTTTATAGCAAATTAAAGTAATGCTAATTTTTAGTTATTGGAAGCATGTAGTGAACTTCTTACAGGAATAAAAGTGTCTTAGTGAATGTACTTTCATTTCATATTGACACTAACTTGTATGTGTTTTTTGTAGACTTAAGCATCTCTGTGGCATCATCTTTACAAACTCACAGTGTCAAGGGGAAATTTTCTTTATCGGGGAGTAGAAAGCTATTCTTTGACACCCATGCTCTAGTGTGCCTGTTGGAAGAAAATGGTAACTTTTCTGTTACAAATTATTCAAATATGTAGAGTGATCTATAACTTATTTCTGCTGTATGATTTCATTATCATTTAAGAGTACTAAACTTGTGCAATTATTTCCCTGTCTCACTTAATTTAAAAGTGTCATTCTTAGTGAGATAGCTTTTATAAAGATTGCTTAAAAGGACATTATTAAGATCAAATTTTGACCTTTGTTATTTTGGATTTACATCTGTGTAACTGAGGTCAGAAACTGGCCAGGCCTGCTATATAACACTTAATTAACTCTTACATACCTTGTAATTGCCCTTCTTCTGTATTTTTTTTAATTCTCATCCATAATATTGTATCACTGCCTTTATTATGAACCTGCAAATGTTGAAAGTACTTCTTGGGGGATTATTGTTTTGCAAAATATCTTAGTAGAATGTTGCAACTGTTATAAAAATCTGCAGTAGTGAGTTAAATCATAATACACTTCACTTTACATATTGTTATATTTTACAGAGTCTCAAAGACTGGTAGACCTAAAACAGACCAACTAGCTTTGTTCTGATTTATTGGATTGTGCATACCTTTTACATTTTTCTGAACAAGTAGTGTATTAAAATCAGGTTCCTGCTCTTGAAGAGCAAGGTTGTAACTTTCAATAACGTGCTTGTTCAAAAAAAACTAAGCAGGCATGAGAGAGAGAATGACATTCTCATCTGTACCCACATCTGTTTTAATAAATAAAATACCAGCATCCTATATTGTTGTTGAAGGATAGTGCTGAACAGTAGAAGTTGCCATTTAGCTACACTGCAGTTGTCATTTTATGGTGGAGAAACCTTGGATGTTCATGTGTTTTAAATTTAATTAATTGAACAGTAACATTGTGTTCCGTTATTAGTTCCAAATGGAGGGAGGAATATGTTTGTAGCCTCTGCCATGGCCATAATTTATTTAAAATCTTTGAATAGTATTTGAAAGAGACATCTCTGAAAAAATGGTTCAGGCATAATTTTGCTATGTTTTGCTGTATTTTGTTTTGCTTAGGGTTCACTACTCAGCAATCAGAGATCATTGTATCTGCGTTAGTGAAAATTATGAACACTAACATGGATGTGATTTACAAGGACATGGTCACCAAAGTACAGCAGGTGAGATACAAGAAGGTGTTGGAGTTAAAGAAAACCAAAATTTAATGTTTCTACTAGTAAAACATAACCTGGTGTTTAAGGAATGACTGTGCTTCAAATTGTACCTTACATTTTCAACAGCAAAGAAATTTGGGGTTAAAAATACAATGTAAGCATCCCTATATATCTTCTGGGTGTTTTCAGACTGGATACTTGATTTATATTTAGTTTTGAGGCCTGATTTTTTTCCCTAGTCTCAAATACACAAACAAGTGTTGCTGTGGATTTTGAATTTCAACTATTGTGATTCAGTGCACTGGCCAGATGCAGACTTTTCAAGCTCAAGTGCAATACGTGCCCTCATTTTTGGGTTGAAATGGTAATTGACTAGAGAATTTTTAGGTAAGAGACTGAGATAGATGAGGTATGTGACACGCACAAATTGACTGGCATATGAGGTATAGCGAATAGTGCAAGTCTTCCCAAGAAGGACAAACCCATTTGCTATCACAAAGAAGTAAGTGTTTTCTCAGTTCTTCTTTGAGTGATTGCACTTGTCCATTCCACTGTAGGCATTCGTGCACTCCAGTGCACAGTTCTCAGAGAGATTTTCCCTTAGTGGTATCCATTGGGGCATCACAAGTTCTGTTTGCTGCCTCACACCTATGCACAGGCATAAGGGTCAAGCTGCCCCGACCCCCCTCATTTCCTTCCCATCACCCATGATGGTTATTAGTTTCCTGTTCTTGCTTCAATTTTTAGTCAAATCCTATAAATACAGTACACCCTCGCTATAATAAACACGTTGGGATCCAAGCCATTTGTTCATTATAGCCAGGGGTTTGTTATAGCAAAAGAGTGCCGGTGAGGGTGGGGTGGCTGACAGCTCCTCCAGCCCTGCAGCTGCAGCAGGTCTTGAAGTGGAATCCAGGGTCCAGCTTCATTATATCTGAAGGTTCGTTATTATGAAGGGCATTATAGTGAGGGTGTACTATAGTAATCGTTGTATAGTTAGTGTAGTTTAATAGGTAGTCAGTTTAAAAAAAAAAATGTTGTTTTGTGTGGTTCTGGCGCCCTGTCTCTGTACCGGCCTTGGTACCGGAGCGATACCATACTTTCTGGGTTTCAAGCCCTGCCATTCTTATCGTGAGGCAGTGCCTAATAGTAACCCTCATCCCAGCTGCCTTAAGTGCATGAGTGACCAGTGTGCCATTTGCAAAGCCTTTAAGTCCCATTCTAAAAAAGGCAGGGCAACCAGACTAAAACATTTGCTGCTCGAATTGGCACTATATCCTCCATTTGAGCTGTCTATCTTGGTCTAAGTACCGAGCACCTTGGTGTTGGCCAGTAGCACACCTCTGGCACTACCAGTACTGAAAGGCAGATTGGTGTTGCTGATACTGAGGAAGAGGCATTGGAAATCAAACTGTGTGCCAGGTTCACTGGAAGATGTGAAGAGGTTGAGTTCTTCTAAAGACACAGGAGTGTGTTCAAGGAGGAACCGCTCCCCAGAGCATGCCTCTAAACGGGAATTTACTGACTCCAGAGCCTAGTATCGGCCTGCTGAGACCAGCTCCCAAAGCACCTTCATTGGCATCTCCTCGCACCACGGTACCACAGAGTGTCTTCCTGGTGCCATCTACTCCTGAGCATTTGAGGCTGCAAGAGAGTTGCTAAATCTCTCAGTGCTGTCATCATCATCAGTTCAAGAGACTCACCTGGCACCGGTGCCCAATGTACCACCGTCAGTGCCTTAACTTCTGCACCAGGCAATTCCATTGGGTTCAACCATCAGAGTATTGATTAAAGGGGTACTGTCTAGGGGACAGCCACAGATGATCTTCTCTGCTCCCCTTTCTTCAGACTCTGAACCTTCTTCACTGGTACCAATGGGTGTGGCACTGCCATGGTCACAAGAAGAGGCATCTCCTTCATCAGACTCTGAAGTGGGATCCTGTGTAGCCCAACCTAACCAGTCCCACCATCAGGAGTATGTCACCTGCCTGACATGGGTTCAGCCTTAGTTCCAGAAAGGGATTTATAGAAGGGACTCTTGGGCTGCACACAGTTGGGGGCTGGAGCCATAGCAGTAGCCCTTCTGGAGCCTGTGGGGCTTCCTCCCTCATTCGAGAGCGTTTCTACAGCCACCTTAGCAGGCTCCATCTACTGGTCATTGGGTGCATCAGTGCCAAAAGCACCCTATCGTCAGTACTGAGCCTTGCTCTGAACAGATTCGGGATCCCTCTCATGACCAGCCCCCAATACTGCTGGCATCCTCTTCTTCGTCTCCTGATGAGGCAGTTGTGGTGGAGCCTATTTATCTGCCTTCTGATTATTTTAAGACCCATCAGGAACTGTTGAGGAGGATGGCTATGGACTTAGACATCCACCCAGAGGAGGCCTGGGAAAAATCATATAAGCTAATGGACATTTTGACATCTGCATCTCCAACCAGAATAGCCTCGTTTATAGGGAAAGCTATCTTAGAGCCTACCAAGGTCCTCTGGCAGACCCCAGCTTCCCTGCCTCTGACTGCAGAAAGAACATAGAGGAGGTACTGTGTTCCCTTTCAGGGGGTTCAAGCACTGTGTAATCACCCCACTCCAGATTCCCTTGTTGTGGCATCAGCCAATGAGAAAGAGAGACAGACAGGACACAAGGCAACAACTCCCAAAAATTGAGGAGAAGAAGCTGGACTTACTTGGGAGGAAGATTTATTCCACAGAAGGATTACAGCTTCATATTGCAAACCAGCAAGCTTTGCTGGGGTGCTACAATTTCATCCTGTGGGATATAGTTTCAGAGTTTCAAAGACAAGCTCCCAGACAAGGTGAAACAGGAGTTCCAGTGTTTGATAGAAGAGGGCAAGTTGGTTGCCAGAATGGCTCTGCAGGCAGGTCTTGATGCAGCAGATTCTGTAGCTTGCGGCATGGCCTCCGCTATCATGATGAGGCACTCATCCTGGTTACACTCTTCTGGCCTCCCTACAGAAATACAACAGACAATCCAGGAATTATCTTTTGAAGAGCTATAGCACTTCTCACAAAAGACGGACAAGACTCTCTGCATACTCTCACAGGCTCTAGATCAACCCTGAAATTTGCACCTCAGCAGTGAAGTGGGAGACCTTTTGTTCTCATCAGTCCGGAATTTTTGGGGGGGTTGCCTCTGAAGCCCAAGATCTGTCAAGGAAAAGGAGCAGAGGTTACAAAAGGCGCCCACTACTGCCCTCTGCTTTAGCAGCCACCAGTTCATCAAGGCAGGCAGCATCTTCCAAGAGCTCACTTTGATGGGCAGGTCAAGAGCATGCTATGGGTTCTAAGAGTGCCTTCTTTTTCTTTTACAATTTTTTCAAACTGCCTGTCCCACTTCTGTTGTCATTGGGCCCACATCACAACAGATTGGTGGGTTCTAAGCATGGTGGCAGTGGGATATAGGCTCCAATTTATTTCTTCCTCTCCATCCCCCTTCCCCGTCCTCCTTCAGGGACCCCCTCATGAAGCAGAATTATTACAAGAAATACAATCACTTCTCTTTGTAGAAGCTATAGAGGTGGTCCCTCCTTTGTTCAGGGGAAAGGGACTTTACTCCCAATACTTCCTGATCCCAAAGGCAAAAGGGAGTCTAGATCTAAGGCAGTTAAACAAGTTATTACAAAAATCACAATTCCAGATGGTCACTCTAGCTTCCATAATCCCTTCCCTGGAGCTG